CCCCCCCTCACTCAGCATATTAGGTAGACGCCATGCTTGTTTCTTGATTACAAACACACCGTTCTATGTCAGGAAGCTGGGACCATAATTTTGTACCCCCTTTCCGCAGGCTTTTTGTCTCTTTTTAGCTCATCTGACGAAGTCAGATGCAGCTTGTAGAATCGCATGATTGTCCGTCCGTCCATGCGTGCGTCAACACTTGAGCACAAATCTTAACCGTTCGACGTACGGTCACGATATTCGAGACGTGGGGGGGGGTAATCCGAAAACGAGTTGGGATGTCGAAGCTGGTGGTCAAGGGTCAACGGTCAAGAGGTGTATAAGAAGAGGAAACATTTCCTCCTTAACTTAAGGTATAGGGAGGAAATGCAGAATTGCGGCACAAATCTAAACGGCTGGATCTAGGCTTGTGATAGTCGGTGTATAGCATCATAGTAGGAAAAGCCATTACTGTGCCGAAATTGGAGGTCACAGGTCAAAGGTCAATGCGGCAGAGGGCAGATTCTGAGGACATTCTTCGACGGAGCGATTGAAAAACTTTTTTGTTTCAGCGGTGACCTAGCTACCATTTTTATAGCTTTATTGAAATGACCGTGAAATGTACTTTCCGCTGACATGCGAAGAGTAAGTGATCTACCGGATAACTTTTTGACCCTCAAGAGGAGGGTTAAACATTTATTTGTTGACTGTTAAGAAAGGACTGAACTGCTTTTGCTATTATTAGAGCCCATACCTGTGTGAATATGAGGCTGCAGTTGCACAGTTTAATTGCAAAAGCAAATGTTTGTTGAACAAGGTTTACGCTCCTTAAATCATATTATTTTTTAAAGCAGTCTGTCTATAGCACCCTGAAGGCTGAATCAGTGAATGCTCGTGTGGGTAGGCAAAAACACGGGGCAGCCCATGGCTGGCACGCTTCTAATCATAATTGTTGCCTGCCAACCTGCAATGCACATGTGTCTGCAATGCATAGAGATTAGGTGGGTGCGAAAGTGTAGCTGATATATTTGTTCCAGTTGGCTACGAAAGTCAAACAAGAATAAAGAAGACTTATGTATAAGACGTCTTGCTATGCGTGAAAGTGTGTTTGTTACTTAACAAAATGCCAAAAGTAATAAAATATACGAAATTCAAAGTGAGAGTTATTACTGGTGCAGCTGGTGGCAGCAGGAAGTCGCTCACTGTTAAAGTGGACAATAAGCAGTTGGTGAAAAGCCTTTTCAGTGAGCATGAAGCCTGTGATGATGATAATTTTGATATGCCTATAGTGTCAGTATTTCTGGTGCTGCTGGCACTGCAAGGGATGGGCGGTAGACCTATACTATAGAGCTATAGGTTACTACTACCGTACTACTAGTAATAGTATTAGGTTAAACTTAAGCCGACACATTATTATTAATAATAATAATGCTGGTGGATTCACGTAATGAAAATGGCTCCATCTGCTTACCATACTGATACTCGATCGTCCGCAGTAATCACTTAATTAGCTACTCTCTGCC